TCATTCGGGAGTGGACTAGGGCTTACTCCTTTTACTTTGGTGTCTCCCACAAGATCAATGTTGCTTTTTTGGTGATGACTGCTTCGGCGGACGAAGATCTCGACGGATCAAGCTCAAGTTTGTGTTGGCAGTTACTTGTGATGTCTTTGGCATGTGTCATGTCTTGATTGCACCATGTATCTGCCGCATGGGGTTGTTTCTCAGTTTCTTTTAATTTTATGTTGCTTGTAAGTAATTGATCATTGTATCTATGGACGCTTGATCAGTATATCTTTGTAGTTGTTTCTGATGTCTTTGGAAGATGAAATCGCCATAGGGGGGATGCGACAATCGGCTCTCGGCGAGCCAATCCGGAATTTGAGTGCACTGGTGAGCACCGAGGTTGCAGCAGTCGAACCGAGGGAAGGGGGATAGCCAGAGCGACCGGGACATCAAAGCTAGAGGGGGCATCGAAGGAGAACAGGTGCTCCCGAACAAAGCCCTGGAACGCAGCTCTAGGAGCCGTCGAACGAAGATTCCCGGCAAGAGGGCCAAACACTAGAGAGCCAAGGAGGGGCGAGATTGAGCAGTGAAGCCCGGACAATAAAGGACGTGAAAACTGTTGTCGAGACTATACAGCGGAGAACGTGAATATAAATCAAGTGCGCCTTATAGTTTGGAAAGGTGCACATCTTTTCTGAAAATTTGAAAAACAGTTTCCATTTCCAAGTTGATGTGATACGGCGTTCACTATACTTGCTCGATCTTTCATCTTTTTGACTATCTACCATACTCGAATTACTTGCGTGCGAACCAACCCTGACCGACGGCGTTGCTCGCTCGCCAGGGTACGATGTAAACGGGATGCCGACGACTTGTGGACTTGTTTACTGGGTGGCAGGCACAGCAACCAAACAGTGGCTGGATCTTTGGTTGGTACCAAGAGCCGCCCTCTTGAGGTTGACACTGTGCTGCTTCTGTTGTTCAATATTCTTTTTCTTCCAAGTGGTTCGCTTGGACCCTCGAGCTCGAATGGCTACTGCTTTAATTCAACAGGAGTCAGGCTTTGGATCCCCGAAATTGCACATGCAAATTTGTTCTAGTCAACAGTTTACCTAGTATAAATAATTATAATGCACCCTAATAAAATAAAAAGTTAAACTGCGTGCATAGTTTATTTTATACAGTATATAATAAAAACAAAGGTATACTAATGCGCATGTTAGGCTTGGCGCTGGCAGGCAGCGATGCCATCACCACATCTCTGTTGCAGATGCAACCAATAATGCAACGACAGAATAGTACTGAGCTTGAGCTTTGGCACATGCCAAAATATCACCACAGACCTACCCCCATCATACTACTGCGGTAATCAGTCTTTACTTCTAGGACATGCCAACATGTAGTGCAAGAAGTGCAGAGACAATCTATCGGCCACCCAAATTTTACCGCTCTGTCCTGAATGTAAGATGTTTTTGCAGTTTAATTTGGTTAAACTGCAAAGACGTCTTACATTTAGGTGCTTCCTCCATTTCCTTTTAGTCATATAAAGTTTGGTCAAAGTCAAACTCTATATAAAAGTTTGACTAACTTCATATTAGAAAATATCATCATTTACAATATGAAGTCGATATATTTTCATACTATACAGTTTTTTGGTATTATAGACGTTCGTATTTCTTGATGTAAATTTGATCAAACTTTGTGTAGTTTGACTCTGACCAAATTTTATACGTGGGGTAAAAAGAAACTTATTAGAAGATCCTTTCATTGTACTACTCCCTCCGTTCCGAATTACTTGTCGCAGGTATGGATGTATCTAGATGTATTTTAGTTCTAGATATATCCATTTATGTGACGAGTAATTTAGAACGGAAGGAGTATTTCTTTAGGAACGTTCTCTGACTGGCCATTTAACGAACGAACGGACCCGGCGGTCACCATTTCAAGGGTAAACCCAGCATGAAAACCGCCTGGGGTTTCATTTCGATTGGCCCATGCGTGCCGCACCGCACGTGGAGATATGCCACCACTGACGGACGGACGGTTAGCATATGGATGGAATCGGTTGGCGGAGCCAGAGCGATGACCAAGTACTACCAGCCAGCGGATCCCAGACCTTCCTTCCCGGCGATCCAATCGGCGGCCTACTCAGACCCAGCCCCAGCCCCAGCCCCAGAGAGATCCACTTGGAATAAGATAAGTAAAAAGCGCGCGCACGCATGACAGTCAGTATGTATATATATCTCGCCGTTTCTAGCTAGCTAGGCAGCGACTCTCCACGCCGCCGAAGAGCTCTTTCTCCCCCGACTAGTCTCTCGGCAGCTCGTCTCCCTCCCTCTCCTCGCGCACCCAAGAGGCCATCCATCTTTCCTCCCCCGACCCCATCCCCCTCCTCCTCCTCCTCTCGCACCTTATCTTACTCGTTTAAATACCTTGTCCTTCTCGGGCCTCCAGGAGAGAGAGAGAGAGAGAGAGAGAGGAACCAACCAGGAAGAAGGGCAGAGAGAGGGGGTGGGTGGAGAGAGAGGGACAAAAGCATGGCAGTGCGGCCCGGCATTGGCTGCACCAGCAGCAACGCCCTGGCACGAGCAGGATCGCGGTGTCTGGCAGCGGCGTCCCACGCGTCCTCCTCCTCACCTGTCCTCCTGCACGTCAATGGCGGCGGCGGCAGGCAGGCGCATCTCCTCTCGCGCAAGGCCACCGGCAACGCCGCAGGCTTATTAAGCGGGAGGACGAGGAGGCGAGGCCTATCCGCCGTCGCGTCAGCGGCGACGGCCAATGTCAGGCCGGCGTCGCCCCGCGGCGTCAGCGCCAGCGACGTCCTCTGGCCTTCCGCCGGTGAGTCCGTCCGAGTTCTTAAGCTTCGATGCTCTCTCTCCGCTTGGCTGGTGTGTGGTGTGGTGTTCCCGGATCTTCATGCTCTCTTCCCGGCCGTTCGTGTCAGATAGGTGTTGCCGGATATGGGTTTCCTCTCTTCAATGGCACCTGCCACACAAAGATTTTAACCATTTGAGAGCATCTTTATTTGCAAAGCCATAGAGTTTCATTAGCAGTATTACCAATAATTTTTCATCAGGAGTAAGGCCTCCGGTTTGAGATATTGTCCGGTCATGCTCATGCTCAAGCTGAAATTATGATGATGCAGGCGCCTTCTTGGCGATGGCGGTGCTGGGAAGGATGGACCAAATGATGGCCTTCAAGGGAGTGTCATTGACAATTGCACCACTGGGGGCCGTCTGCGCCGTGCTCTTCACCGCTCCAGACTCACCACCTGCCAAGGTTCCTACCTTACAAGTCAACACCAATTTTTTATTTATATATTTGTATCACACACAGCTACGAACAACCTAGGGCAGATTTACAATGACCTAGTGCATGCACTGATTACCTTCAAAGAAAATCTATGTGCATAATGCATCTAACCGTTTCTTACTAGTGTACATCTCCGAGAGTTGGTAGAATAGTAGTATATTCGTAACTACAGAATGCACAAGAGTGGCTGTAACTCAACATATCAGTTCATGTTAATTTTTGAAACAAAATTTCCAGCCAATGAACTATGCAAATTAATATTCTTCAAGTGCTCCATCCATAAGCTCATAAGCGGTTGGTATCAAGCATATATACTACTAGAACACTATGAACTTTGTTCAAGTCTCAGCCCACTGTGATTGATTTCTCAAGTCATCAACAGACCCATAAATTGTGATGATTCCTGAAATTTTTAGTGTAGTAAAAGGCCATGTTATACTAGTTTTTTCATGTGCCTTACAGTGAAAAGAGAGATCTGGATAACCAATACTAACGCTTTCAGGTGGAAATTCTTGCAGAAATATAACATGTTCATCGCTCAGATTGGTTGTGCGGCCATCGGTGTGCTAGCCCTTTCGTTGTTCGGGCCCGGATGGCTAGCAAGGGGTGCAGCTCTTTCTGCATCCATAGCATTCATGACCATCACAGGCTCTTCGCACCCTCCAGGTAAACCCTCAACAGAAATACTGAATTTGTCTTACTTAACTCTTATTTATATGTGCCTTCTTTTTTTCAGCTACAAAATGCAGCAAAGAAATATTTTGAGCTCACCTCTTTTTATGATAACTGCAGCTGCGAGCTTGCCTCTCCTGTTTATTGATGGTCCGAAGTTTCACCACTTACAACTTTGGTATGCACTTTTCCCTGGGGCTGCCGGCTGCGCCATCCTTTGCTTGATTGTAAGTTAACTGTACATCTCATCTATCCTGAAACTACAGCAGAATTATTAGATTGAGAATCAAAACATTGACCCTTTTACTGCACTTGTTGCAGCAAGAAGTGGTGGTTTACCTGAAGAAGAACTGCAAGTTTTGATTCAAGCGGTGGCTTTTCCTGATTCTTGATGGTTGTTTGATTATTATCAAACCTGAGGCATACATAAGTTGACGAAGCGGCCTTTGGATGAAGTTGATAAATGTAGATTTAGTCTTCTTGGTTCATTTACCAAGGAAAAGTAGTAGGAAAAGAAGCTGATTCTGCTTCATAATTGTTATTGATCATTGGTTCACATCATGAAAATGTGAAGTACATATATACCAATCCGAATGGAGCGTGATATTTCGACACAGAAATACCTCTTTTATCCAATAGTATTCTTCATGCAATACAGCTTGTGACTGCAAATGGCAAATGTAAAACATTTCCAACAACATCTGGTAATCTGAAATGAAAAAACAAACTATTCATTCTGAACCATGGTAGCAGTTGCATGCACACTGACAGTGACAAATTACAGTTTGCAAACCCGATACAACTCTGATTAACAACTGAAAAGGTAAAAAGTGTATCCAGTAATATATACAGGTGGGACCATAGATGCGATAAAATATGTTATCTTTGGAGACGTATAGAAATGGGATAATATACTTAACTGTATGCAAACGGTCACTTCAGTGTTGCACTACTCATCCTGAACTACCAACTTGGAAACTTAGCCAATCAGACTATGCAAATCTCAAGAAAAAGGTATCCAGTTATCTCTGTTACTATACATCCCAGCCATCACCTCGACTGCTAAAGAATCTTTTAGCAGATAAGTTCCCATAGACTTCTGAAAATTTAGCAAGGCATTTGCTCCTAACATGATAATGTGCTTGTGTGTTTCGACTAATGGCTACTCCTGAAAACTTAGACATATCAATTGCCCAAGCTGGCTTTACATACTCCACCGTGCTCATTGAGCTTGCATTTGCAAACAGAAAATTTAGAAGGACATCCTCACAATTGAAGAAACTGTCTACCATCTTCCTTCCTACCTCAGCCTTCTTGCTCCAATACCTCTCAAAGGCCAAGCCATGATCCATGAATGCTGCTCCAGTCAGTACCATGTTATAACCTCCTTGTTGCCGAGCATACCTCTCATTGCGGTATTCCAGTGGAGTACCTTCAGCGAGGCGTGGGTAGTACCCAACAATCCTATTAGGGTGCTCCCTCCATACCTTGAACCCACGCTCTAAGTCGTCACATGCCATCATGATATCATCATCAAGCTCCATAACAGCTCTTGTGTTAATTTTTTCATCTATGTTGAATCTATTGTTCAGAGTGTTCTTATCTTCAACTCTGACCCTGACAGGAACAGCCGACTTCAATTCATTTTGCACTGGCGGGCGACCTTTATTCCAGATAACCACAATCTCCCTCACTGATGCACATTTGGAGTAATGCTCCACAAACATCTTCAGATTCCAAAGACGGGCATCATATGTCATAGTTAACAGCGTGAACTGCGAGTACCTACCCTTGATTGGATATGGCTCTTCAGCACCATTGCCACCATATACGCAGTGAGTTCCAAGACAAGTTAGAAAAACTAAGACTAGTATTACTAGCACAACATAAACCCGTCCCTTCCAAGTTCTGTAGTTGATTCTCCCACCAAGAAGAGAACCCAACTTGTTCAAACTGGAAAACAGCGAGCTTAGCTTATACTTCAGAAAGAACTGCTGCTTTCCATGTAACAAGTCACCCCGTTTCTCAGTATGTGGAACATACCATCTGAGTGGTATCGTGCATCTAATTGCACCAATAAGCCCACCAAGCAGAAGAACTAGTAACAGAGTGACTCCATAAAACATGTACCCTACGGTCAGGCGGTGAACTGAATCGTTTGAGGGCACTCTATCACCATCCGTTACCCCAATCCAGAGTTGACTTGATGGAAGCCATTGAACATCAAGGTGATGGGATCGTGCACCGTTCCATGCATTTCGAGCCTTGCGGGGCTTGTCAAAGACAAATGGGACCTCAATTTCCTTGTATTCATTTGCTGTTAGGATTTCTACTCTGAACACTTTAATACTATGGCCAGACACACCACCACTCTGTTTGCCTATACGATAGAGATCGCCGTCATAAACGAATGGCCTGCCTCCATTTCTAAAACTCGACCCGTTATCCATGCTACCGATTGTATTATGCCTGTGTGGATTCCAAGGAGCAAGAGGAGAGCTGCTATACCAGATACTGAGCTCTCCATTCTGCTTCGCACCATAAGAACTTAAATCTGACCCAAGCAGCCAATAGGAACCCCTGAAATTTATGATGACTGAATCCACAAGTGGCTTCTCCAGAAGGACCTTCTCCAGTGTCCACTTAAGGGGGAAATCCAACGCACGATACAACCGGAGATCTCCGTTCTTGCTACTTTCAGGCATCATATAGACCTGTGGAGCCAATAGGCAAGCAAAGAAGCGCATGTGAGAATGATTACAACATGAACTTGTTGGTTACAAATAAAATAAGCAGCTGCGAGTGGGATATTTGCCTTGCTATTGTAGCTGAACACGTATGGGTAGGAGAGATGCCACTCCTCATCTAGCACCAGGCCCAGCTGCTGCCATGTCGCGCCGGCGTCCTTGCTCACGGCAGCGGCAATGTCGCCTTGCGATGTTACGGGGTTCTTCGTCTCGAAAAACATGTAGATGGCATCACCCTGAGGAGAATTTAGCTTCACGTCCATCAGGGCAAGAACAGGAGTCGATCATGGTCGTTGTCAAAATTCACATGAAAGATGGCCGGCAGGGTACGAATCACAATTCACAAGTACCACTGCTGATTTCACCTCTCGGTGTCCAGATGTTTGGTAGTTCGAACCTGGAGGAAGAGGAAGGGGCTGGCGACGAAGCTGCTGGGGGACCCGGCCTCCGCCACGTCCGCGCACGTCACCGCCGGGTTCGCGACGGGCCACGCCGCGCCCGCGTCCGCGTCCGCCGAGATTCCCCACTGCACGCACGCGAACCACACGGAAAGCCAAAATTAACGCCACGAGCGACGACGACGACGCGCCTAGGGGGGGAATTGGGGCCGTTGAGGTACGTGTTCGATGGGCTTGAGGGCGAACGGGGAGTCGCCGAGGAAGACGCCGGCGGACCAGGAGCCCTCGGGGTCGGGGCGGCAGCGGCGGGCGTCGGGCGGGCTGGGGAAGCGGGGGGCGAGGGCGCGGGAGAAGGCCGCGGCGACGAGGGCCAGGAGGGCGGCCGCCGCGGAGAGGTAGGCGGCTGGGTGCAGGCGCCGGCGCTGCGCCGCCGGCCGCGGGGACGACGACGACGACGACATCGGCGGTTGGAGATGGGATGTAGTACTAGGTGGATACGTGTCGCGCGGAGAAGCCGTGCAGCCGCGCGCTTCGGGGGCGCTTTGCGCGGAACTGGACGTGACGGTTACGGGAAAAATCCTGGGACGTCGATGGCCGATCCGACGGCTGCCGTGAGCCCGCAGGAAGACGCAGTCTCGTCTTCCTTTGCCCATGGCCACCGGCACACCGTGCAGCAGCGTGACAAAACATCATATCATTGAGATTTTTTATTTTGTTTTGAGAGAACATATCATTGAGATTCGAGAGGGAAACGCGTGTTGTCTTTGTATTAAAAACAGTTTTGCTAAAGCACATCTAGATGTGCCATAAGTATTGCACATCTAAGTCCTATATCATTGATCTTACGTTGAGATTGGTGTGGATATTTTTTTTCTTTTTTTTTTTCCTTTTCATGCTTAATTCACTCAATTAGATATGCAATAAGTATGGCACATCTAGGGAGGTCGAGTCAGAGAGAGCTCGCACTATTCACAAAATCAATGGTGTTCACAATTGTCACTAGATTCACTTTCAAAAATATTTACTCATGTTGTGATTTACTATGTACTAACATAGTAATAATTATCAGCTAAAGACTCCATACATTTTGCGGCGAAGAGAGTAAGTACAACAGAAGTGCTTGTCATCATCACCGCTGTCGCGGGTTTTGGATGATAGGAAAAATAGATTCTGAAAAACATGGGCAGGAAAACAGCAACCATGAGCACGGTAGGAGCAAAAATGGATTCTGGACATGTTACATGAATTTCCAACATCATCAGTAACATCAATAAAAGTTCCAGATTTTTTCCCTTCTCAGCTCAATAAGGGGATGACATTCCCAGCAAAGTAGCAGAAAAATACTTGCTCCTTGGTATGGCGTGTGTATCAGTATCCAGAAAAACACTTTCTCCCAAGTTGGTATGTGTAAGCATCCACCAGCACACCAAAACAATGTCATGTCATGGATCCATACGTGCCTCCAGAAGAGATCAAAACCGCTTTATTTACAGTTCTAGATTTCTAGGCGATTCCGCATATGGTGCATGGTGTCTACAATATCTTCCTATCCTTTAGGTACTTGTACATGATGAAAAACCCGGCTACTGCTCCCACTGCTATTCCGCCAGTCGTCGCCCAAAATGCCCACTGCTCCAAAACAAACCAACTGTCAAAAAAGACGGGCATACGCTACATCGGGTACGAATCCAACGGCTAGTGCCGGCACGTGTCTGTCACTGAAAGCGGAATAAAATCTGAGGGGTGCGATGCTATACCGTGTTGTTCTCCAGGTACGATTTGAGGTTCATGCCGAATATCCCTACATGAAGAAACACGGTGATTTAGCCAGGTATAAACAGCATTGTTTAGGAGTGCCATGTAGGAAAATAACCACCTTCTGGTGAATAAGAAAGTACCCAAAGTTGTGAAATGCTCAGATTTGTATACCTGCGATTAATGCTCCTACGGCGACGCAAAATGTTCCGACCTGAAGAAGCAACTCCACTCTGCTTACTTCTAGTCGTCGGGAACTGTGGCAAGGGAAAACGTCATGTCATTGTTTATGAGCAAGTTGGCTACATATATTTAACGGCACCAAAATACGAGATCCTGTAATCCTCAGAATCGTTTGATACATCTGTTGTCAGAGACGTAGGAGCCACCAACTTATACTGGTTAAGTCATTTTATATTGACCTCAACCCAGTTCTTCAAGGCACGACATTCTTGCTTATGCGTAGAACCCAAAACAAACTTAATCAAAATGCACAAACCTTAAGTTCACTGCAATTGAATCTTCCATTTCTCTTGCAGAATCAAGAAGCCTCTCTGCTTGACCATGGCATGATTCACATCTGACAGTAAAAATGCACACCTTAATGAAAATACAAACCACAAGGAAGCAACATGAAACACAATAATTTGTTGCAGAGCTCACCTTTGAAGGTAATTTTCCAATAGCATCTCAATTTCTTCCTCTTCCTCTGTTGAGATCAAAAGTTGCCAATAAATTCAAGTGAACACCAATTAGGTGACTACTAATGAAATACTCTGAGCCACATAACCAAATTTAAAAAAAAAAACATTCCTTCTCAAAACTCCAAGCTGCTCCACATAAACATAACGAAAATACTTTCAGTTGTTTTCATTTCATCTTCATCAGTGGGCCTTCCTTTTCATTTGTTTCATTTCTTCATAAAAATATCACAAATGCCTTTGTACTTTGCCAGCTAAAACTACCTCCGTAATCCAAAAAATTAATCTATTGCTTTTCATACGATATTGCCCAAGTAATTAGATGGTAGAGTAACATACTGAAGGAGCAGAAGATGCAAAGTCGTAATGATAAATTTCAGCTGTACCTTCGGCAACTTGCTTTTCTAATGGAACAGAACATTCCATATCATCACTCACTTTATCTAGTGTACAATTTCTCCCCATAATGCATATTCGACGAATTTCATGGGGATCTTCAAGGAGATCGATGAGCATTTGTTTAAGATCACCTGCCCGTGAACCCAGCTCGACCTTGACAGATGAATATAGAAGCAAAATTAAATTAATTTACCAAATGAATCTAGGAGATGATTCTCAGGGCAGCTGTAATACCAATGATTGTTTGCTTAGACGAAGCTGCTCCAAAACATCACCTGTCAACCGATTTGGTAGAACTTCAAGCAATGTAGCCACCTGAGATGAAATCCCAGATACCCAGAACAATGTTAACTATCTTTTTTAGGTATTACAATAGGATGCATTTGTCATAAATGCAGCTGCTTGATTGACGGTCTCTGATCAATTTGCGTCATATTAAACCATCACAACGTGAGGAGTAGTGGCTTTGCTTCAGTCCATAGGGAATAAAAGGAAAACTTATCCTAAGGTGTTTCACTACTTTCCATTCCACCATAACAAGATCGCCAGTTCATCACAATGAAACTGCAGAGCCAGCATGGCAAGGCTCTTCCCTACTGTTTGGGTGTAAAATAAGATGCAGAGTCAGCGACCTGACCACAGATACGGTATTAAGTTCAAACAGGGCCCCAGTGAGCAACATAGCACTTGTCCTATCTCAGCTTGCTGGCAATTTACAAAAGAATACTTAGTACTATGGTCAGGCAACTAGACGGCTGAAACTGATTGCTAGCAAGTAGCAGTCATCCGGCGAGTTCAGTTGGCAGAGGTATTATAGGGAGGAGGATTTGCACCGGAGTTGGACACTTGTAAGAGACCAAAAGGCTCTCAGGTGTTAAGGCACGGCATGAAATTGTGTAAGCTAAACTAGGAAATAGGGAAAGGGAACAACAGTCCAGAAGTGACCGAAGTTATCTATTGAGGAACAGACTACAGATTACCCTTAAAATGAATGTGCGCCAAGAAAGCGAACAACATCGTATATGGTTCTGTACAAGCATATCAACTGATGTGAAGACCATAGACACCTTAAGGAGACATGACTTTTCAGGTACTCACACGAGGTTCAACATGCATTAATCTTCGTTCCAGCCTTTGTATTCTAGAAAGCAATGCAGCTTCAACAACCTGAACATAATGAAAACACAATGAAAGATTATATCATCTCGCTCCAATGTCTGACAGACCGGTACTCCCAAATTCTGTGAAAAATGCAAGCATGGCATGAAATATTGTCAAATTCAAATGGAAAGGCCACAATAGATCATGTCTTATTACCACTTTATTAACTGAACTGAATGTAAGAAGATTAAACGGGTACACTACAACCATAAAGAATTTAGGAAACCATCGATGATATCCGTATAGTTATTCTTCAAGATTCGACTTACTGGATAAGGGGACTCAGGATGAACAATCAACTTGTAACGATGCTATGCTACTTTTAAATTAAAAATACTTAACTGTTCGACATGATTCATTGGGAAAAATATGATATAGATATGAACAGAAATAAGCAGCTCTTTTACGAATGCTGAGGCTCCCAAATACTGGGTGAGTTCAAATCAGTAAACCTCAAGAGACAGAAAACTTCCCAAGTTTCTATTTTCTAAGGATATAGGTAGTGAAGAAAACATATAGCCAAGGCAACACGTTGTCAAATTAACACCATTTAGACTGCAAATGCAGATGAATATAGTATCTATATATTTATTACCTCAAGTTGAAAAGGCATTGCAGGCCCACCATTGATGTTCCTTGGATTTAACCGAGGTCGTAATAGCTCTAAAAAGACCTTTCCTCCTGGGCTACTCATGTTAGAGAAAATAACTGATAAGTTTGTAGCACAAACGATGACAAGTTCACCAATGCCAGTAGGTCTTTTTCTGAACAAACATACAAACTGACCTGTTATAATTGAATATAAGGACACGTTCATGCATAGCAATTGCTCGCAAGGAACCAAGGTTGAGTAATATGGCCTGTTCACGTACCTACAATAAATGGTGAAACACGAGTTTACATGCTACATATAAACCGTCATATAGCCATCTTTTATACAAAGCAATCAAGTAGTGCCTATTAGCATTTAATCAGTCATAGTGAAGGTTCCTGAAACATATAACTAAGCACAACTTCAGCTGATGTTATGAGTCTGACAGAAATTGCAGTGAACTTAACTTTATTTTCTTATTTTCCAATCTGTTAAAGTACATGTATTTGTGAAATCCATAATCTACTATAAAGACACCAGGTGGTTTTGACTTTTGGAGAAAAGGAAACAATTGTGCTGTCTTAGGAGTAGGTCGTCTGTCGCCCGGCATCTATTGTTTTTACAACTGAAAAGATGCAGATGACAAGAATACAGCAAACAGAGGGAGACCTATATAGTTAAATATTGGAAAGTTTCCTGTTACCAGCAGGGAAGGCATTGAATTCATTAGCCATAGTGACGGGTCAACGCTTCTTGTATCTCGTAGACGGAGGCCTGGCAGCACAAGAGTAAAATGAGATCGCGTGCAAGCACTTAAAAACAACAAAGAAGAATGTTAAGCATCCGTATCAAGAATATTTTACAATTATAACCAGCCAAAATCAAAGTAATGTGTAGTGGTGGTATATGGAGTTTATGCAATCATATGGAGAGTTCGAGCAAGTATGATTGGTGAACATGATGAAGTTAATGCGTTGTGGTACAGAGCATTGGAAACACACTGATTTTACATACCACTTGATTTCAGTAGCTGCCGGCGGCTTATTTTTTCGGTAGACACGCTTCCATTAGCTTTCACTTCTACCACCTGAGTAGAGTTCGATGGTGAGGTGGGGGTTAGTTTGCATCTTGCATGATGGTAAGCTCCAAACCTTGTATTGTGCATACCCCATCCCAAGCCCACCCACCCTTTCGGAAAACATGTCATCAAACTAGCATACCAACTCTTGATTTGAACTATAGGAGAACAAAAGTACACACTGCTCCTTCATATTTTTCGGTCACGACAAGCAATGACACGCTTTTGATGCGTGCTCAAGAAAAAATATTTGTGGTCAGAAATTCAGAATGACCAAATTACTGTATTTCCTTCTAGACTAGAGGCACGGAATGCTTGTTTTTACAGACTGCCTCGATTCTGTGGCAGTCTGAAACACTTTCAGAACAATTTTGCAGAAAGAGGGCATGGAGGTTGTGTTTCAGAGCAGAGGTGGGCATTCCTGGTGGATGATGATGATTTTCATGTGGCAATGGCAATGTGTGATTGCAACAATTCAATTTCTGGCCGGCCGGAGTTGGCCGGGGACCTACCTCGTAGACGGGCTCCCTGATGCCAAGCGAGATGTAGTCGGCGGCGAACCGCCCGGAGCCCCTCGCCGCCCCCGCGCCCTCCGCCCCCCGAGCCACGTCGTCCTCGCCCGCCTCCCTCCCTCCCACATCCTCCTCCTCGTCCTCCTCATCCACCTCCTCCTCCTTGGCCGCGGCCCGCCCGTCGCCCCCCTCCGCGGCCCGCGGGAGCGCCTCTCCCCTCCGCGCGGCGGCGGAGAGGCCTAGCTGCGGGAGCGGCAGCCTCCGCAGGCGGCAGACGAGCTGGAGCTGGAGCGGCAGCGGGAGGAGGTGGCGGACGGCGGCCTGCGGCGGGCGCGGGCAGGAGGCGGGCACGGACGCCATGGGCGCGCGCTCCGCGGGGGCATGAAGCGCACCCGCCCTGTGTTTTTTTGGGCCGGCTCGGAGGGCGACGGCAATGGCGAGGTGGAGGGCGGAGGGGGAGGCGGGAAGAGGGAAATGCTATCCAGTGGTTGGGCTGGTGGCTGTCCGGCCTCCCGCGGAGGGGCATCCGGGCCGTCCGACGCCCGATCCGACGGCGCAGGCGGGTCGGGGGCTGGCGATTGCTCCTTTGTCGTCCGCACGTACCAACTGGCCGGCGGGGCCTCCGGGGAGTGAGTTGGTGAGCTCATTCCACGGCTTGTCGACAGCTGGTGGTCCCGTCGCCGTCGCCGTCACGTCGTCGCCGAGCTATCCTTCTTCTTCTTCTCCGGCGACAGCGAGCGCGGGAGAGGGAAATGTGGTAGAGAAATCCCGTCGGCCGTATACGCGCCCGCGAAGACGACTGTTGATGCGCGCGCGCGTCGTTTGTGTTCGGGAGGCTTTTTTTTTTTTGTCTGATTTGATTGATACAGGCGTTTTCTCGAATATGAATATCGGATATTTCGGATTGTTCACTGCCACTTTCCACCTTAGCTGAGACTGTCGTTTAGTTTGTGCTCCGACCACTCGGCTACTGGCATAGGCAAGCTTGGGTTCCGCAAAACATAGTATATTACTTCAAAATATACTAGAAGTATCAAGCTATCCTTGTTGAAAATATGCACCGGAGACAATAATAAGATATTATTATGATATTTTTCATTTTCGTAATTAAGTTTATATTTATGTGTTATAGTTGCATTGGTTCTTTATGAATTACTGAGAGATTACATCGTTAGTATGTTGTCGGTATTTTCATATAAAGTATTTATGTTGTCGTTATTATTTAGGTTCCTCCCTGGCAGCCTACAAGACACACAAAGTTGTGTAGAACCTTCATGTGAATATCCAATAGTTATCGTCCCAACAAAGAGCGGAGGAAAATATTGATTGTGGCGTTTCGATCACACTCAATGTGTTATAAAGTCTTGTGTGAAGTAATTGTTCAAAAATTTGCAAGTGCCACTATTGAAGGTAGGCGAACCAGAAGCCGGGTTGATCCAATCACATAACACAAGAGGAGCCCGCCTGTATTTCGTCTTCGAGGAGGACTGATTCCAAAACTTCAGACAAGTTCGGAGGAGCTACTGACGATACATTATACCTGGGAGGATAGTCATCATCTTGGCATGCAAGCCAAGGTTCCTTTGGTCAACTCTGAGTCGGGGTCGATTAGAAAATCTGTAAAGCCTACTGCTAAGTAGATCGAGGATCATCTGACTTATCATCAACACCTCGGTAGCTATTACCACATCCTATCTGTAACCCCCCTCACATGAGGCGTTTTTACCATTAATCAAAAGCAAAGCAAGAGATAGGGTGTTACCTCAAACCATGACGGTCCGAACCTAGGTAAAAACCTCGTGTGTGATCCCTTCTGGTACATCCAGCCGCGCTCTCCACCCTACTGAGGACACTGGCGGTTTTCGATACCATCACCTTAGAGGTATGGTCTTCTATCATACATGCGGCCTCGTGGTTGGTGTGGAAGACAAAGCAGCGGCTCTGAATCATGTAGTAGGGTGCCGACTCTAGTTGCCTGGGTGATAGAGTCATCAGCTCATCTGGTACACAACCTCGAGGCCGGTGCGTGTGTTCTTGAGGTTTGTATGCCAGAGCGGCAGCTCCGGGTCGTTTGATAGGGTGTCATATCCAGTTGCTTGGGCGGCAAAGTAGTCAGTTTGCTTGGGGCGCAACCTCGGGGCTGGCGTGTGTGTGGGTATGTATTAGTTTTTGGCCAATTTTCCTTTTATAAACAGGTCAATTATCTTCTTGTTCTTATATGAAAAAAGGGAGAGCTCCTGCCAGTTGCTAAAAAAATGTTTGCTTCAGACTTTCAGTCAAAATCTAGTATTAATTGAAATAGTTTTTGCAAGAGTCTTATAGATTAGTTTGCTAAATATTAATGAAACGATTGGGTCTGACAACAAAAATATTTCCAGGGACGCCCGATTTGATACTAGGTTTCTTTTCCCAAATTACTGATCTCATAAGTGTAGTGAACTCAAACCATAACGTGTTCACCAAATTGATGCAACCAGGGCGAATCCTGATGCATGAGACATTAAGTTAAGTCATCAACAGAACCACTAGCGGCGGCCCAACACGACTACACGAGACTGCAGGAGATGTCACGAATCAGTCGCATGAAAATGTTGAGAGATTCCAGTCAAATTTCTCGCTGTTGGAATTTGGACGTGCTCCGACGTTCATCTGAGATAACCCTAAAACAATTCGAAGCACCAAAAGGGCCTCTCTGAGTTACCAGCGGGCGATCTACAACAAGGTAACGAGCACGGGGACAGAGTGGCAGCAATGCTAAGAGTGCTACACTGACACGAATCATCAGGAGGGAGCAAGGAGTTACGAGTGCTCATGACGGTGAGCCGACACCAGAGGCATCAGCCTCGTAGAACAAGTTGTAAGCCTCGGCGACTTCCATGTACCACATCGCTTCACGGTCCGGCTGCGTCGAGAGATCCACTATCTTGTGCACCTGCGACGATCAAATCCAGGAGGTAAGAGATGTATCTGACAGCATGCACCGTGATGCAAGATATAACGGCTTCTCTGTGAAATCTCAGGTGTGGTAAGCACTGAGCATACAAACAGTAAGCAACTGCTGAAGTGTGCACTTAAGACAAAAACTGTAATTTTTGGCCCAAAATCATGAGTGTTGTTGAAGTTAAAAGGATGAACGCCTCGTTCATGAGTACTAGTGTACTACGAGCAGACATTACTATTATTCTTTCTATTTGCATAATCATTAGACAGGCAGCCTGGAACTCCAGGTGTTGGCTCAAGTATTCAAATGGTTTCAAAACTGAACTTCACCTCAAACAATATAGAAAGCACCAACAGAAAACCTCAAAATTTCAGTATATGGATACAGATATGAATGTAAGCAGACAAGGATGGGCAAAGAGTGTAAGGGAGGGAGATGGAACCTTGACCGCTGGCAGATTTTCGGTAGACTCTGGCGCAATATATGCCCCAATAATCAGCACATACATCCCTACAGCATGAGATAGGGCCGTCAGTAAACAAATCGTGAACTAGCCTGAAAAAGAAGCAGAGCACGAAGAGAGTAAAAGCATTGCAAAATGCAAACAATAAAAATACTACTGTATGTAACACTTTGCCATGATAATTAATTTAACTCATGGGGCATCTTGTCTTGTGGTAAATTCTAGGTTTTCCGCGCTTATTTTTGCAAGCAGTTTCGCATCAACAGCACTACAGCAGCAAAACAACACGTGCAATTTGATTATGTCGCACAGGCAAAGTTGATCTTCAGAAACAACATATCTAAGAAACGGAGCATAAGCAGAGGGGATCGAAGAAGGTTGGGAGAACCTGGGCGCCAGGGCTGGCCCTTGGCATCCTCGGACCGGAGCATGAACTCGGTGACGCAGGAGCCGTCATCCACGAACAGGCTCCCGTTGTCGCCGGTGCTGTAGTCCACGCGCACGATCACGCCCTGCCTGCCGCTGCAAGTCGTCAGGGCTCCGAGCAGGGGAACGGGGAATGGCGGGGAGAAGATGTGGGATGGGTCGGGGTCGGGGACCTGGATCCAGGCTCAAGATGGCAACGGGGACGAAGCCCATCGGATTTTGCCTTCCCAAACCCATCCCCACGAGAAAATCGTAAATCCGTCCCCGTCCCCATCACCGTGTGCGGGGCTAGTTTTCTGCCCGTCCC